AGTCAAAGCACTGTGCCATGTTTTCTCGGCGGAAGGCTCCTGGTCTCCATCTGTCTTACACTGTGACCCCCTTGCAGGAGAGGTGTAGGGGAAGGGTGCCAGAGCAGAGGCTACTCTAGTGAGATGAGGGATTTTCATAGGCTGCTGCCCTTGACCTTCAGAAAGAATGGGGTCTGTTTTGCCTTCAGCTGTCTGATGAGAACAATGTCATTGATTCTGAGATAAGTCCACCATTTAGTTAAGTTGAAGGTGGTTAGAAGAAGGGGAAATTGAAGAACTTGGTCCTGTTGACTCATGGATAGAATGAGCACATAGTCCAGGATGTGAGTTCTCTGTTATCTCTGGATATCAAACAGTAAGTTTCATACACTGGAAAAACAGCCTCCGTGGTCAGCAAAAGCTGTTGTTGCTTGAATGATGGAATAATGTTTATGAGCAGGTGATGTTCAAGATGTTTCCAGAGGTATTCAGTTCCAGCTTAAACTTGAGATCTCAATAAAAGATATGTTTCTGCCTGAAGATACTTATGCATTCTGATAAAGTCTAAAGCTAAAACCCAGGGTGGAGTCTGGGAGAGGGCTCAGCAGATGCAGGTACCTGCCACCAAGCCTGATGACCTGAATTCCATCCCCAGAGCCCACATGGTGGTAGGGGAGAACTGACATTGAAAGTGTCCTCTGACCTCCACACATATGCTGTGCTGTGTGTGCACCCTGTACACATTCATACAACCAACAAAGGTTTTTTATTTCTCAAGCCCAGTTTGGCCAACATAGCAGGACTGGAAATTTGAAACACCAGCCTGTGCCGCATAGGGAGACCCTTTCTCAAGAAGAGGGTTTACCTATTGGTGTTACAGATTAAGTCTGGTCTGTCATTGAACTTGTACCTCTTGCTCCCAATTAAGTTAATTTTAAACAGCTAATTTTTAGATTATTGTCCGAAAATAATATCCCCTGGGTAAATACCAGGCTCCAGTATAAGCTTTCTGTTTAATAAAATGACTTAGGTTAAATATGAAAGTATTTGTCCCAGTGTCCAGTCTCTGCCCGCATGAGTATTAGAAATACCAGTTTGGCCCCACGCCGTGCTTTGTGCTAAGCAGCACATGCCGGTATCCAGGGGGTGAGAGAGAGCAGAAATTCATAAGCCAGACAGCAGCCACAGCAGCCATGCTGGAGGCTAAGGCCAAACCTACTTGGTACTGCTGCCTCCGCGAGGAAGGACTCTGAGACCTGGCATCCACGGAGTGGGATCCCCTATCCTGCACACTTCAGTACCTAATAACCAAAAAGACTTTGTTTTGAAGTTTGGTGGAGCATGTAGAGAGGAAGTTTTAGAAGTTGATGTTCTTGCTTTCCTAAGTGGTAGTGACACAATTTTGATGTAGTAGTGTCCTTTATTATTAAAGAACTAAGTTTCCGATTAAGGCATAATTTTAATTTTACTGATTTATTTAAAAATCATTAGTCTATGATCCTTGTACAAAATAGTGGGTTTCGTCATGACATCATCATGAATGTATTTTGTGTATTTCTAGCATATTCACACTCATCACCTAGCCACTTTAAAAAAAACCCTCAAATATTTCACCTTATTATTTCTTATAAAGATTATAAAATAGATTGGGGGGACATATACGACTCAAAGAATGATAGAAATTTATTAGGCTAGTGTTTGTAGTTCCATCAAAAGAATAACTGGTGAACTCGGTCTTACAGGTGTTACAGGGTGTCTCTGAAAGCCATGGCAACAGCGGGCCATGTAGCCAGGTACAGCGCTTGCTTACCACACTGAGGCCCTGGCGTTGCTCCTCCCCATGGTGGAGAAGGTGGAGACCCACGGGGTGCCTTCTAACGCACCCCACCACAGCACGTCTAGCTTGCATCGGCCGCTTTCCTCCTGAATGCACTCTTTCAGCTTTATCTGCAGGTTCCTGGGCCCTTCAGCAGTGGCTGTCATGGGCTTGCCACTACCAGTGACTTCTTCAAGAAACACAACCCAAGTCACCTTGTACTTTAAACTAGGAAAGCTGGTTGGCTACAGTAAAAGAAAACATAAAAAAGAAATGAAATCAGTACTTAGCTAAGTACTGTTTTAACAGGCACGCAGTATCAGGCTGCTTGGTCTACCTTCCCCTCCCCTATGTCTTCTGGGTCTCTGCATGTTTGTCCTCATATTTGTCATATTTTGGTGTTCAGTTGCTCGTTACAGTGCAAGTCCATACAGTACGGTGTATCTCACGGGGCAGCTGGAGAGGAGGCACAGTAGCAAAGCACAAGTCATTGGCGACGAGGAGCTGGCACTTGACGTCTAAAGGCGACGAACTCTAACGGGGAAGGGAGCCTAGAAGGGAGCCAATTTTTTGTTTTGTTTTGTTTTTTGTTTTTCAAGACAGGGTTTCTCTGTGTAGCTTTGCGCCTTTCCTGGGTCTCACTCTGTAGCCCAGGCTGGCCTCCAACTCACAGTGATCCGCCTGGCTCTGCCTCCCAAGTGCTGGGATTAAAGGCGTGTGCCATCACCGGCCAATTTTTTTTTTTTTTTTTTTTTTTTTTTTTGCTTTTCGAGACAGGGTCTCTCTGTGTAGCTTTGTGCCTTTCCTGGATCTCGCTCTGTAGAGAGCTGAGGACCGAACCCCGGGGCCTACTGAGCTAAATCACCAACCCAGGGAGCCAAACTTTTGAATTTAGGAGATTTAGGAGTATGGGGCTCAAACAAGAAGTATGTTAGAAGCTTGCTCTAGTGGTCCAGGTAAGGAGTGACAAGAATCTGGACACAGGCCAAAGGAAATAAGTATGAGTCACTTAGCCAGAAAATCATTACAAATTGCTGGCAATCTGATTTGAAGAGAGGAGCTGGAGTAATCTAAGATGGTTATTGGGTTTGTACTGCTGTAGGTGAGCCAAAGGTACTGTTAACCCAAATGCAGGAGGGCAAATTATAAGGGGCAGATGAATTCAGTATGAGCTGCGTTGACGTTGAGGTGCCTTTGAAATAGGCAAATGGGTAACGTCTAGTTTGACATGGAAGAGAGCGCCCAGAGAATTTAACAAGGCTGGGAAGGAACCCGTGCAAAACGGAAGTGCCCGTGCCGGTGTTAAGCAATAGCAAGAAGTTACAAAGCCTAAGAGGGCCCAGTGGAGGGGAGGGCACATTAGCATACACAGTCCACATTGAACACGGCTCCCTGCTGAGCTGGATGGGATTAAGACTGAGATCAAAGCTGGCATGTGTACAGCCATGTTCTGTTTGGCTTGTGTAGCATTGGATCACACGGGGTTCTAAATGCAAGTTAGGTGCCAACATTTCTGCACAAGATCCAGATTTCATATTTCTTCTAAATTTTAATTTTTTTTAAAAAAATAAAAGGGCTGGGAGTGGGGAATCAACAATATGGGTAGTGACGGTTCTCTAGATGTGTGTCTTTTCTCTACATGCATCTGCTTCACTTTTTACAGGCTCAGTAGACATTTGAATTTTCTACTTCAGAGCCAAGGATCAGTAGTTAATAAACATACAAAGATAGATTAGTGTCAGATTATGGAGAGCTTTAAATACCAGGCAGAGTATAAAATGCAGTAACAAGCAACTTTTGAAGGTAGGACTGGCGAGATTAAAGTCCTATTTAGGAAGATTATTCTGAAGCGGTGTGAAAACAGAAGTTAGAAAAACTACCGTTTTTAATTAAAAATTGTAATTATTGATATATGAATGGGTGTTTTGCCTACATGTATGTCTGTGCACTGTATGCATGCCTACAGAGGCCAGAAGAGGGTGTGACTCACCTGAGACTGAAGTTAGACACAGCAGCGTAAACTGCCTTGTTGGTGCTGGAAATCAAACCCAAGTCCTCTGCAAGAGCAGGCAGTGCCCTTAACTGCTGAGCCATCTCTCCAGCCCCAATGACCAATTTTTAATGAAGAGAGATGTGATGATATAAAAACTGGGTTAAAAAAAAGGAAAATAGAAAAAAGAAAGTTCAATGGAAGAGTTATAGGGAGGGACCTGCCATCTGAAAAGTCCCCCACTACCACATTCAGTATTTGAGTTTGTTGAGCTTGGTGAAAAATTTGCTTGTAGTCTCCTAGAACTCCAGTGGATGCTAGGGTCATCATGGGAAAGTCAAACAATGCTTGCTGGCTACCTGTGGCCCAGAGGTCACTGGAGACACTGTTTTCACTAGACTTTAAGTGGAGGCAAAGATCCTTTATTCCCTCCACCCCCATCTGCTCCTTCAGCACAGCCAGCATTCAAAGGGTCCCTTGTGAAAAGGATGGCCAACATTAGTATCTGATCATTAACTGCAAGCGAGTCATTCTGCTAAGGGGTGCTTGAACCTAGGGCTTCACACATGCTTGGCAGATGTTTTGGTATGCCACAGGGGTTGCTAGATTAGGACCAGTACTTGGATCTGGAGGTCTAAGAGATTTGACCACTGTAAACTGTGTATCTATGTCTGTTGGCATGCCACACAGGAACCTTACACTTCCATTCAGGAAGCTCTGGCAGAAGTTATCTGGAGGCAGGTAGTATTCCAGGCCTCCGTTCTTCTTTTGATGACTGGCTCATTGTTAGTGTGTGCTGATCTGTTTACTGAAAGAAAAATTATATGAAAAACTCCTTTTTAAAAAATTTTGGTTTTCTGAGTCAAGGTCTTGCTGTATGATCCAGGCTGCCCTGAACTGGGCCGCATAGCCCAGGCTGGCCCTGCATTCTCAACCCTGACCTAGTCTTTGAGGGCTGGAACTACAGCTGTGTGCCACCACACTCAGAAAACACATTCCTTTTATGCAAGCTAAATTATGATAGATTTTCTTTATATGCCCTCCTAGGAAGTTATCACAGGAGATGCTTTTAAATCTTATAATTTTAATCTTGAAGGCGGGTTGGAGTAACAGTGTAGAGAAGAAACACATTTGATGTTTAATGGTGCTTGTCTCAAACCTTGTGAGGTTTCCCTCCCATATTCAGTGTGGTGTCTTTTGTTTATTGACTTGCAGATGAACCATGTAAAGGAAAGATTCCAAGATGAAAAGAACAAGGAGGTGCTTTTTATGTGCATCGGCATCACTTCTGGAGTTGGACGCCTTCTCTTTGGCCGCATTGCAGACTATGTGCCCGGAATAAAGAAGGTTTACCTGCAGGTACTCTCACACTCTCCTTCCCCCAACAGCGTGACCTGTATTCTTCAGTCTCCCTCAGGCCATTGAAGGGCTTTTACGCAAGGGGCTGACATGAGCAGTGTTTTATAAAGATTAGTCTGGTATGGAGTAGAGAATGGAGCAAGAGTTGAGGTCGCTACAAAAGGCCCCATGTTGAATGCTTCCATTGACCTAAAATGTCGAGAGTAGGAAGATGACTAAAAAGGTAAATTAGCGGTTGTGGGGGGTTGGGGAAAGGTGATGGTTTCTTTTGGGGGCAGTGAGAGTGTTCTAAACTAAGAAAAGTGGTGGTCTACTAATACACATAAGATGGGTAGTTTACGGTACTCTTTAGAGGCAGTGCGAGGGTGCAGTGCTGCTGTTGGAAACTGCTGACATAGTTAATCTAGGCAGGAAAAACCAAGCAGAGACATTGGCACCAAACAGGAAATTAGCGGCACAGAGAGCAGGTGCTGGTGGGGCTGTTTGTGTCCCAGATTTGTCGCTTGGCTAACGGAGGAGGTGGCTTCATCAGCTCATGAGATCAGCAACGCAGTAAATCCCAGGAAGACAGCCTTTGTTTCTGCCCCGTTCATGCATGGTGCCTGTGGAACAGCTGGGTTGAGCGTGTGTAAAGCATTGTGGGACTTGGATGTTCTTGGACTGAAAGGAAACATCTGGGATGGGGTGCTTCTGGGACACCAGTGGGCAGCAGTGTCAGGAGCTAGTGAAGTGATTATAGTGGGAGGTATTGATGACTGCACAGATGACGAGCAAATGGGAGTGTAGACAGCTCTGTCCAAAGGACAGGAGGGCAAAGAGATCTGGAGATTAATCATGAGAGGCAGTGTGAGCGGTCTCATAAAAGATGTGAAATGTGGGAGCAGGAAACTACGTGGAACAGGTGTTTACTATAGACAAAGAAGCTTCCTTTAGTCGGCTATCAGTAATGACAAGCACCATTTGCTGAACGCTTGGAGGAGCCAGATGAAGACCTGAGTGCTCCACGTGCACCATTGCCAGTCCTTGCCTCAGCCCTTCAAGGATGGCATTGCTCTTTGTTTGCACTTACAGATGTGAACACTTGAGAACAGAGGCTGTGGGGTGCAGGCAGACAGTCACAGGCCAGAGCCTGTTCCACAGCAGAAGGAACAGCAACTGGTGTTCTTCTCGTCCTCCGCCAGTGCTGGGAGTAAATACGAGACCCTTGTTAATATTTATGTATTCTTTTATAAAATGTAGAGCCAAGCTAGGCATAGTGATACACTCCTTTAATCCCAATACTCGGGAGGCGGAGGCAGGCAGATGTCTGAGTTCAATGCCAGCCTGGTCTATATAGTGAACTCCAGGACAGCTAAGACTACACAGAGAAACCCTGTCTCAAAAAAATGAATGAATGAATGAATGAATGAATGAATGAATGAATGTAGGGCCTTAAAAATAGCTCACTGAGTAAGGCTGTGTGCCTCAAAAGCCTGATGCCCAGAATATATGGAAAGGCAGAAGGAAAGAACTGGACTCTAAGTTGTCCTCTGACCACCACCTGTGTTCTGTGGCATGTATTTTACACACACACACACACACACACACACACACACACACACACACACACACACTCATGATCACCACTGGGCATGGTAGCTCACACCTGTAATCCAGTATTTATGAGGTAGGGTTGCCACAAGCATGAGGCCAACCTGGACTTCAGAGCAAGACCCTGTCTCAAATACAGCAATGGGAATATTTATTTAGTATATGATAATCATTCCACCCCTTATAATACCTTATAATACCTCATTGTAAATATATTTATCTAGCATGTAGCCGACTAGTTAGTTTCATCTTCTAATGTCAAGGTGCCCTCTTCTGGACATCTGCTGTATTGACGCCTGTCAGATTTCATGTTGTAAAAACAATTCTGAATACTCCTGTGCTCTAAGACATTGGCCCAGGGGGAGTGATACAAACAGGATAGACGGGGGTCCCTGCGTTCCCAGAGCAGGGTTGTGGCTGGGAAAATCTAGGTGTGTTTGGACCTAGACAAGAGAGACTGGCATGGAAGGAGCTGGAAAGCTGAGAGGGGCAGGTTATCCAGGTCTTCAGAGCTAAGAGATTTTCTGGGACTGCCGAATGGCCAATCTGGAGCACACTGTAGACTGAGGGTGGGAGAGATTGAAGAGAACCTGTCATGTATTACTGTGGACGTTTCTCCAAAAGGTGAATTGCTAGGGGAATGTATTCATGAGTTACATATATAATTAGAAAAAATAGAATGATGCCCATATCCCTCTTCATGTGTAAATGTTCTCTTCTGTTAAAAAAGACTGAACTGGTCAGTGTTACTTAGCTCTGTTTTTTATTCTACTTACTATTAAAATTTTACATGAAGGTATGAACTTTACCAAATATTTTAAAATGATATCCAAATACTTAACTATCCCCCAGCCTGAAAAGGGGATCAGAAGCCCCACAGTCTCATTTCGACTGGCACTGCTGTGTATGTGTGCAGTTCTGCGGAGAAAGTCAAATGCTCTCCCTTTCCTGTGAAGCGTTATAAGCCCTGCATGCTTCAAAGAAATCCAGCCCTTTGGTCACGTGGCCTCATCATTCATTTAACTAGTGCAGGGTGCGCCGGACTTAGCTGCTTTCTGCCCTCGGTGCCTGGCTGGAGGCTGTGAAAGTCTGTGGACATTATGTTAAATAAGCATATTGAGGGCAGCATTTGAATTTAACTGTGCCCAGTTATGTCTCTGCCTCCAAAAATGCCTTATGCTCACTCAGGTGTAGCTTAGCTTTCCACGTGAGTCCAATGTCTGGAGTAGGAGGTGCCTGTGTTGTCTCCCCAGAACTGCTTCGGGAAAAGAGAAAAAAAGATTGTGTGATGGAAAATTATTTCTCTTTCAAGCTGGGTTCTAGTATTGACAGATCAATATTTGATCTGTTTATCTGATATTTATTTGGAAGCGATGAGAAAGCAGTGGCCGTCCTATGTGGCCCAGTACATAAGGGACCCGTATTTAGTCCTCACAGCAGTTATGTTCTAACAAGCTGGGAGAAAAAGGTCCTGGGAAAGGGCCTTGTTTCCCATCATCGTGGTTACCACAAAGACTTTTCAAACACATTAGTAGAAACATTAGGCAGGTGGATTAAAGCAAAGTGAGGCAGTCAAGCTCCAGGCCTCGGGTGCTGAGGTGGCTCTTAGCCATTGGGTTGGTGGTATTGGTACACTGAAGAGCGTCTACCTAATGGCCGCAAATGTTAGCACACAGAAAGCACACAGGAAATGGCGACTGAAGGGCTAGAGATGGCCCCCGATAATTTAATTTGGCTCTGGACTTGTAACATTCTGAACTCTCCAACACTGTTGAAGTTCTAAGTCAGTTGGCCGTGAAGGTTCCGTGGGGGCAGCTTCTTCCTGAGAACTTTCCTTCAATACAAATAAGGTAAAAGAAAGTAGGTATTTTTCTGAAATGCTTAAGGAATAAGCTGTGTGTGAGTGACCTTAAGGAGTTCACTCCTCAAAGGAAAATTAAAAAACCTTTCTTTAGTTAAATGAATATTTTTTTTCACTTTATATGTATGAGTGTTTTCCCTGCATGCTTATCTGAGCACCACATACATACATGCCTGGTGCCTGCATAGACCAGAGAGGGTGTCAGATCCCTGGAACAGGAGGCACAGACCGCTGTGAGCTGCCATGTGGGGACTGGGAACAGAACCTAGGTCCTCTGGAAGAACAGTCAGTGATTTTAATCATTGAGCCATCTCTCTAGTTCCAAGTTAATAAGTCTTGTAGTGCATGTCTGTAATCTTACTAAAAATGCAAGGGCAAGGGGATTTTGAGTTTGAGGGCACCAGAACACATTGCTATACTATGTCTCAAAAGAGCAACAGTAATAAATCTTGGTCAAATAACAGAAAGAGAGAACGTAAGTTACTATAGTTTAAACTGAAAAGGGGCCGTGTGGTTAGGAAAAGATTGAGAAGTGCCCTAGGTGTACAGAGATACTTTAAGAAAACAAGCAAACAAACAAAAAACTGATCAAAAACAAAAAATGGAAGACGTAAAAAGTAGGAAACCAGAGAAACTGCCAAAATTAAAGTGCCTGGATCTCATTACATCACATTAATTGTTCCATGAAAATGTTTGTTATTAAGTAAAATTGAGTTTGTGCCAAATACCGAATGAGACTATCAGATGCCAAGTACGTATCAGTTGTCAGTGTGCTAAGTTGAAACCCCAGAGCTGGTTTTCTTGACAGAAATTAGTATTGAACAAAATAGGAAGAGAAATAAGGTGCATGTGTACGTGTGTCCTTTCTTTTATAATTATGGTGAGGTGGCTGGAAATCTGATTTTGAGTCAGGCGTGGTAGTTCTCATCTCTCACCCCTGGCACTCAGGAGATGAAAGCAGTAGGATTGTGAGTTCAAGACCAGCCTGAGGTATAAAGCATGATCTGAATCAGCCAAGCCAACACAAGAAGACAAGATTTAATTAGGATAGTTTCAATTTCCTGAAATCTGTTGATTGCAAATGTGTCTAAGGCTGTTCATGTTTATCTCCTTTCATAGTTTTGGACAGAACAGAAATAAACCTATGACTATGAATAGTAGGTTTTGTCTCTCCCAGCCCTTTACCTCTAGAGGTTTTATTTAGCTTGCTGTTGGGGGATGGGAAGTCCAAGGGTTGTAACGTTGGCTTCTGGTGTCCTTTCTGGGTACGTCTTAATATAGCAGAGGCATCACACGGTGACAGAGCCCGCTTAGCTTTTTGATTAAAAATAACCCCCTAACTCTTTGCCTACCTCTCAGACATTTTGATTTCCACATTTTGATTATATTTAGGCCTTTTTCTCTCAAGCCTCAGAATGTCTTTTGCTTGTTTAGGATCTCAGAGGGCTAGAGCCTGGTTATGTTGGTTGGTTGTATGTCAACTTGATCCAAGCTAGAGTCATTTAGGGAAAAGGATTCTCACTTGAGAAAATGCCTCTGTACATTGGCCTCTAGGCACATCTGTCAAGCATTCTCTTGATAAATGCTGTGGGAGGGTCCCTTCCACGTGGGCATCCTGGGTTGTATAAGAAAGCAGGCTGAGCAAACCACAGAAATAAGCCAGTAAGTGGCATTCCTCCATGGCCTCGAGTTCAGTTCCTGCTCTGACACTCTTTGATGACGAACTGTCATGTGGAACTGTAAGTTGAAATAAACCCTTTCCTCCCCAAGTTGCTTTTGGTCATCATGTTTTATCACAGCAATAGAAATTCCAACTAAGACAGTCCTAGTCTCCTCCTCCTTAGTACTGGTTCCTGTAAGCCCAATAATTACTCACTACTGTGAAATTACATGTGTGCTCTCATTGAAGTTGGATCAGAGAAAAAAAAAGATTTCCAGTTTTTTAAAAATGGGAAAATAGAATATTTTATTCCTTCAGAAAGTTAGTATGAAGCTAGGTGTGGTGGTACACTATAATCTCAGTCCTTTGGAGGTAGAGGTGGGAAGATGTGTGTTCAAGGCCAGAATATCTGTTCTCTCCCATTTAGGTACCCACTATACTTTAGATATACAACTATGGTAACATCAAGACTTCATAGTGGGACCTGCCACACTAACCCTCTTCCCCCAAATTTTAGTATGATGTGCCTGATTTATTTTTCAAATGGCTAGCTCATAGTTTTAAACCAATCATAATTTTACTATAAAGCCCTATTTTAGTACTGAAAACAAAAACAAAACAAACCCCTCAGATATATGATACAATGGTGTCAGAGAAGTAACCAACCTGGGTTGCGACCATTTTGCGTTTCTTGCTGCTATGTCCATGAACAACTTACGCTAAAGTTGAAAGCTGCATTCCCAAGGTCAATTTCAGGCGCCATGCTCCAGGAACTGTCCATGGTTCTGAGACAGCTGACCCTTCCACCTTGTCAGCACACAGCGCCAACCACCACACCAGTTCTTTTTATGTGGGTGCAAAGGGTCTGACTCAGGGCCTCGTGCTTGTATGGCCTTTAACCAACTGAGCTATCTCTCGGAAACTCCCATTCTTGAATCCCACCCCCACCTCTAATTATGCATCCTTAGGGCCCTAAGGTTGTGAGTAGCTTCTCTGACAGACACTACCAAGTTTGGTGTGATGATCGTTTTTTGTCAACTTGGCACAAACTAGAGTTGCCTGGGAAGAAGGACCTCAGCTGAAGTAGTCACCTTCATCAGATTGGCCTGTGGGCATGTCTGTGGGGGCATTTTCTTGATTAATGACTGATGTGATGGCCCCCACCCACCGTGGGAGTTACCATACCTAGGCAGGCTCTATTGGGTATTCCTATTCCTGAATAAGTAGCCAGGCAAGCTAGAGGGGAGCAAGCCAGTAAGCAGCATTCAGCTGTCCTCAGCTTTAGTTCCTGACTCCAGGTTCACGCTTGAGTTCCTGCTTGGCTTCCCTTACTAGAGGAAACAAGGCCCTCACTTTATAATAAATTCAAGAGGAGGCTAGTGGAAGTGAAGCCATTTTTAATATACCATTCTGCAGAAAGGGACACCATAGAGAAAAGCAAAAGTGGCTGGTGTGCCAGTTGGTGCCAGACAGTGTTTTAAAGTCTCTGAGCTTGAGAAATTCCTGTTCTCTTCCCCATCAGCTGGTACTTTAGAGACTCACAATCTCGCATTCTTCTAGCACAGCCCCTTTCCCAAATTCCCCATCCTATTGGTTCAGGACACAAAGTCTTAGCTAGTACAGATTGATTCCAGGGCTCAGTCACGTAGCAGACTGCCCGCAGCTTCCCAGTTCTGAGCGTTCTAAGACAAGCAGGCGGTACCTAGGGGTGAGAAGACCCAGTGCCTCTTGCTTTTCTGTAACTCTCGGATGAGCTTTAAACACGCCGCATACTGGGAATGATTCATTTCTCACATTGGTGTAACCTGGAGCGCAGGCCAAATGAACCCTTCCCCCCACCCCCCAGGTTGCTTTGGTCATGGTGTTTATCACGGCAACAGAGAAGCAAGTTAGGACCGTTGTGTCTGTAAGCATGCCAGTGGGGCCTGGGAAAAGAGACGAGACGGGACAGCGATCCCCATGGCGTCTGCTGTCTCCCATCTCTGCTGTGTTGTCCCGCTGTCACGGGAGGGCCCCCAACAGGGACATTCTTTCCACTCTGAGCTGCAGCACATATGGAGCACGAGTTGTAGGCTAGCTCCGTCTACATGCCTTAGATGTGTTCTTTAGCTTTCCCGGCACCACCGTCTGCGTGTAAAGCAGGGATAACTTTGCACAAGTGCACAGTTCTAAGCTCAGCAGTGGAGCAGCCCACCTGAAGTGACTGGAGTGGCGCCTGGAGCTTTGTAAACCCTATTGTACACACAAACTTTCTTCTGATAGTTCATCCCGGGTTTCCCAGGGCTGAAGACCACTTTCAGGAATAGGTCCTTTCACAGTAGGGTCCCGGTCCTGAAACTCGAGTTCTCAGCTTTGGGGCAGGAACTTGTACTCATTGAGCTGTCTCTCTGGCTCTTTGTTCTAGTTTAGAGACAGGCTCTCCCTAGATAGCCTAGGCTAGCCTTAAACCGCCAATTCTCCTGCCTCTGTTTCCTGGAATCATGGTTAACCCCCCTCCCCCCGACAGTTATCCCGCTTTAATTATTTCTTTAGAAGTTACTGACTGTCTGTTCTCTCTCCATTTTTTGTACCCACTATACTTTACACATATGACTATGGCATCCTCTAAAATGTTTCATTTTTCACTTTTTGTTTAAATATCCTTCTCTCCAGAACTAAGAGGAAGAATCATGTCTTATTCCTGTGTAAACCTCTATATAGCATAATACTTACTAAATGGCAGGCAAAATCAGCAGTTTGGCTGAATTAACTACCCTAACCTTAAGATGTTTGGTGGCCCAAAATAAATATTCTGAACCTTAATGTTTAGGTGCGCAGACATAATCTGTAATATTTACTTATAAAATATAATGGCTTCATGGATTAAAAAATAATCAAGTACTTGATGAATGAATGTGGGCTAACAGTATTGATCCAGGTGCGAGATCTCTAAACCTTGTAACGTCTAGTCCAAAGATATATGAACATATATAAATTCTGACTAAAGAATGTATAGGCTGGGAAGGAAAATTACTGTATAAAATGGTTACTTTCTTGTTCCCTAATGAAAATATTAAGAAAATGCAAGAGGCTCTTGGGGAAGTTGTTTCTATCTGATGGAGAGGAAGGGGAGGATCGGTGTCCTCTCGCGGTGTTGACCTGAAGTCCTCTGTCCTAGGTCCTCTCCTTTTTCTTCATCGGCCTGATGTCCATGATGATCCCCCTGTGCAACATCTTCGGGGCCCTCATTGCTGTCTGCCTGGTCATGGGTCTCTTCGATGGATGTTTCATTTCCATCATGGCCCCCATCGCCTTTGAACTAGTTGGTCCTCAGGATGCTTCCCAGGCAATTGGATTTCTGCTTGGATTCATGTCTATACCCATGACTGTAGGTCCTCCAGTTGCAGGTAAATAAAACAGTTCTATAGTACTTATACTAATTCATAGCATTTTCTACTTTGGTCCTAAACCTCATTTATTTGTGAAATATATTTAATGTATTAATCGTCCTTGTGTGCTTTCTCTCTCCCATTTTTAATAAGACTGTATGTTGATAGTAGGTTGGAAAGGATTGTTGAGGGAGCATTCTGCAAGTGTGTGTGTGTGTGTGTGTGTGTGTGTGTGTGTGTGTGTGTGTGTGTGTGTGTGTGTGTGTGCGTATGCATGCACATGTATGTATTAAGTCCAGAGCCTTGTACATGCTAAGCAAGTACTTACCACTGAGCTACATATTACTTGTTGGGGAGTGCTGAGCATTGAACGTAGGCATGGGATATCCTAAATACATACTCTTCCATTGAGCTATGCATTTATTTAGCCTCTACTTTTTCAGTTCTGTTAGTATGTGTTAGACAAATGGGAACATAAAAATGGAGATTCTGATAGATTTCTAAGCATATACTACTTTTGCATAAGAAGCATATCCCTGAGAAATGGTTAAAGAAAAATTATATTTAGTGGAAAGAACATGGCACACACCTGTAATCTCAATACTCAGGAGGCTGAGACAGGAGGAGAGTTGCAAGTTCAAGACCAACCTGGTCTACATAGTGAGTTCCAGGAGAGCTAGGGTTATATAATGAGATGACTCCAATCAGTCAATAACTAAAAAGTAAATAAAAACAAAAATATATCATCCATGCAATGGACAGGGATGAGTATTATTCAGCCATAAAAGTAAGGAGATAGTGACACTGATAAATGATAGGGACACTGATCCATGTCAGGGACCAGGTGAACAAACGTCATAAACATTATGCTAAGTGACCAAAGCCAAATATAAAAGGTCACATATTGCATAATTCTATTTGTATGAAGTATCTGACCTCTCCATTAGTGGTTGCCAGAGACTGAAGGGAAGGACTGGAGAGGGGCCACTCAATAGGGATGGAGTTTCTCTGTAGCATGATGAAAATGCTTTGGAAGTAGATATGGCTGTATAATGGCCATAGAGCATTGTGAGTTCAACTAAGTGCCACTCTGTTGCTCATTTTCAAGTGGCTACCTTTATGTTAAGTGAATTCTACCTTTAGAAACTTATAAATGATGGTGTGATGTCTTACTTGGGCACCAGTGTAAAGAGATCAGTTTTCAATACAGTTAGGAGAAAAATTCAATTATAAACAGTCTCCTGTGATTGATATAAGAAGCTCAGGGAAAAGTCCGCTTAATTCGTTCTTAGGTCTGAAACCACGTTGTTGGTCCAGAATCAAGGAAGCAGAGTTACTGTGGAGCAGGTGAAATACAGTCTAAGTTTTACTGGTGACTGTTCCCGGAGAGGAGGCCTCCATCCCATCCTCCTCTCTCACTCTGTTTGGGAGGTTTCAGATATGCAGGCGATTATGAAAAAGCGTTTTAGTGGGCATAATGTCGCTTTAGTTGGAATAGTAACCGCTCACAGACCAAGACGAGGGGGGGGGGGCGTGGGGGAGTAGCAGGAAGTTTCTTCTGAAGTAGGAAGAATAACTACACAGAGAAAGTGACAGGAGAATTACCATCCCCTTCCCTCAGTGGTTCAGATGTCATTATTATATCACAGTAAAAACCTGTTTACTAGTATCCACGGGATGAAACATGAGACATTTGGATTCTGAAGACAGGACTCTTCATACTTAGAGAGGCTGTGTTTTTTTATGTTTAGATCCAAAATAACTGTCCATATTATTTATATGTACATATGTTGGTATGTCACTGGATACAGCCTTAACTATGCATTAAATGAAGTTGGATAGATGTTCAGTTCAATATGTTTCCTGGATATTTTAGATAATTTGACATTGTGCAGTAAAAGTTCAAACACTAAAAAAACTTAGAACTTGGAGTCCTGGATTTTTCAGGAAATTTAGAAGAAAAATATTTTCCAGAATCAGAGCCTTAGGATCCACCAAATACCAAACATACACTTTAGAGCTTTCTGTTTATTTTGAGACAGTGTCTTTCTAACTCTCTGTGCAGACTAGGCTAGCTTCAAACTCAGAGGTCCATATGTCTCTACCTTCCAAGTGCTGCGGTTAAAGTTATGTGTTGCTAGGCCTGGCCAAACACACATTTTTATACTTTCTTCCCAAGGATGGGCAAGCCTTTTTTCTCAAATGTACTTAAACATCTCTCTTTTGGGTTAGAGAGATGGCTCAGTAGTTAAGAGCCCTGACTGCTTTTCCAAAGGACCCTTTCCCCAGAACCCACATGGTGGGCAACCATCTCTAACTCCAGGTTCCTTCCTGCATGCCAGGCAGGCATTTGGTGCACAGACAAACATTTAGACAAAACCCATATACATTTTTTTTTTCTGAGACAAGATTTCTCTGTGTAGCTCTGGCTGTCCTGGAACTCACTCTACAGACCAGGCTGACTTTGAACTCACAGAGATCTACCTGCCTCTCTGTCTTCTGAGAGCTGGAATTAAAGGTGTGACCACCACGTGTGTGTGCGCACACACACACACACACACACACACACATTTATGAGTCTTTTTTTTTTTTTATCCCAGCTCTTGGATTTATAACTTTTCATGTTTCTGTATTACAACTTAAGGTAGTTTCTTATTGAAGTCAAATAAGATCAAACTGAGGTGTAGATATTGTAGAGACATTTGATCTGGATGCTTCCACCCACTTTCAGCTGAGACAAGGGCTGTTATATGATATATTTGCATATCCTAGGTGGCCTCTGAGAGGCTTTGGGAATGCCATTGCTAACCACAAGTGATATTTTGGTATGACCTGTATTCTGTAGTAAAATTTTAGGTTGATAATTTTTTTCCTTCCTTATTATCAGAAAAAGGTTTACATTTCAAATCTGTTGTCTGGGCGGGGCCTGCCATCAGTGTGACTGAGCTGGGGCCAAACCTGTTCTTTCCTTGTGACAGCTGCTGTCTCCCTTTCCAGGGTTACTTCATGACAAGCTGGGCTCCTATGATGTGGCCTTTTACCTTGCTGGAATCCCTCCCTTTATTGGAGGCATTGTGCTTTGTTTAATCCCGTGGATCCATAGTAAGAAGCAAAGAGAAATCAGTAAAAGCGCTGGAGGGGAGAAGACGGAGAAAATGCTGGAGAACCAGAGCTCTCTACTGTCAAGTTCCTCTGCTTTCTTCAAAAACCAATCTGACTCGATTATTTAAGGCCCTACATACCTCCACCTGACTGGATTCGCTTTTGAAGTTTTCCTTTTCTATGAACTGCAAATTTCTTATTTTTTTAAATCATTTTTGGAATAGCACAAATGGAAAACAGAACCTTTATTACTGCAGGAACCATTTTCTCTCCCCGAATAGCTTTGATATTTCCAGGGATCTGAGGGAAGAGACTGTTACAGGCAAACACCAAAGCTATCTCAGTGACAAGCAGCCTTGGATGCCCGCCGCGGGCGCTGTGTAGCTGGCACAGATGCACACAGTGTACTTGGAGCTACGCGGAAGGGTAGCAGTTTGGTTCATACCGGAAGTATTTTGTTGGTTGCTTCATATGGTGTTTTTAGTTCCAGTGTTTTAGTTTCTTCTGCATTTTGGAACTTTCTGCAAAAATTTAAGCCTGGATCCTAGATAATAACAGGCCAACCTAAGCCTCAAGTCTGTTAAATGATTTAAGCTATAATAAAGCTGGGCGATTCTGCCATGCTCCAGTGTCAAGGGACCTCCTAGGAGCAGAAGCTGATAAATACCCAGGATGGAGAAGAAGGAGTCCTCTCGTAGGCTGCAATCAGGCGTGTCCTCCCCTAGCCTTTGCCCCCTTTGGTTTGTAGTGTGTTTTACTCCAGTAGCCAGAAACACCCCAAATTTCTGATTTTATGTAAACAATAAAGTAAAATAGAATGTGTAAAAGATATCCTGGCAATTTTAACAGAATTCTTCTGACTTCTGGATTTATTAGCACTGTATTGTAAATGTCGTATTAAGCATGTTATCAGCTGGTGTAACGGGCACAGATTGGAGGTAGTGTAGAACTGCTTTACCCATTAGAAAAATATCTGATAGAAATAATTGCTCAAATTGACTTACGGAATTAGTGGTTCTAAAAGGTTAGATATACTTATAAAATGAAACAATTCCTAAATTTTCAAATTTTTTTTAGCAAAAATTTGCATTTGTGTGTACAGTCAGTCCCAGTGACAGGGACACATTGGGAACCTGACGCTCTCATTGTCTAGATAGACATCGTAGAGTTTACTTGCAGAAACTGAGAGATGCCATTGTAACCAATCGATGGACTCTTGTTGGTGCAGTATCACATATGTTCCTCTTCTTTGACTAGAAAATCAATGTTGTATTTAATCTGCCATGTGCTCCTTATTAACTTCCACCATTTCCCCCTCCCCCCCATTTATGTCTAGACTGTAGAAAGCAAGGTATTAGCTTTGAGGACCTAAAATTAAAATCAAAGTCAGGCCATGACCCATGACTCGTTTATGAAAACAGGAACACATTCCTCTGTCTTTGAAATTATATTTCAGACCTTTAAAGGTTAAAATGCAAAGTGTATTTAAATCATTAGCCTAGATGAATATTAAGTCACAGTTGAATGTAGCTTGTTTGTTCACGTGAAAAGTGTGTTATCTTCCCTAAGCACTTCCAGGATCCTTCTGTTTCTAAGTTATCTGGAAGGTGAGAAACAACTTTATCATCTCACTGCCTGGCTTTCCCCCTCTGTTGCTCTGAAAGGCCGTCCTTCCTCTTTCCATCCAGCTAGGGATGGGGCCACCTGGAGAGGACACAGACTTATGCTTGGAGGGCAGAGGGCAGAGGGCAGAGGGCAGCTATCACTGAAGGCTGGAAAATACAACAACTTTTCCCTTAATAGCAGCTTACTCACCTGGCATCGTGGAAGATAACAGCCTAAATGCTAAGTGTACAACTTATTTTAACGGGGGTTTGAATAACTGTAATTTATTTATTATTTATTTATTATGACATGGAATCTAAGTAGAACAGATTGGCCTTCAACTCTATTCTGTTGCTTCAGACTTGTGCAGGGATCGCAAGGGTGTGCCGCCATGTGTGGCAATAATTTTGATTTTGGAGGTATAGGCTTACTATGCTACACACACAGTTGTGTTCTTTTTAAGGCAAGGTCTCACTAAGGACCCCAAGCTGGCCTGGAACTCACTATGTAGCCCTGGCTGGCCTCGAACTCACAGAGTTCCTTTAGGTTTTTGGAAACAGTCTTGAGTGTGGGCCTGGAGGAACTGGAACTTGAGGTCCTCCTGCTCCAGCTTCCTAAGTGTCAGAATCACGGGTGTGTGCCACTGAGCCCAGCTTCAGCTTACTGTTGTCAGTTTTTTCTGTTTTAAATGGTCTTTGGCAATTTGTTTACAAAAGGTTCTCTTTCAGGAAACACACACACATACACACACACAGGTTTTTTGAGACAAGGTCTCTGTGTATCCCTGGCTGTCCTGAAACTCACTCTGTAGACCAGGCTGGCCTCAGACTCACAGAGATCCACTCGTTTCTGCCTCCCAAGTACTGAGATTACAGGTATGCACCACCACTGCCTGGCTCAGGAGGAAAATATTTTAACTGTATTGTCCTTTCTTGTTTTAGGTAAGATTTTACCATGTAGCCCTGGCTGGCCTGGAACTCACTGTGTAGACCAGCCTGGCCTTGAACTCACAAAGACCTGCCAGCCTCAGCCTCTTGAGTGCTGGGATTAAAGGGGTGCACCACCATGCCAGCTAACTTTCATGTTCTTATATTAAGCTTTTAGAAATAATGTAAGCATGATGATATAGGACATTATCAAGCCTTTCATTGCTTTCTCCTCAGTTGCCTGAAATTCTTCATCATTATCAGTACTTTTAAGAGCTAAGCTGCTGGAGAGTTGGCTCCACATTTCAGAGCCTTTACTGTTCTTAGAACCCGGGTAATCATGTGATGGCTCACAACTGCCTGGAACTCCGGTTCCAGGAGATCCAATACCCTCTTCCGAGCTCCTGCACACACGGTGCACATATGTACACTCAGGCATGTATATGCACACACACTTAACAAGGAATATTTAAAAGTTAATGAAAAACATACAACTAAGATAATTAAACCTGCCATGATGAAACATTCGGGTGGGGTTTGTTGTTTTGGGGTTTTCAAAGAACATTTCTAGGGCCTTATATAAGGGCGGCACTCTAAGCTAGATCCTCACCATAGGGGTTAACACAGACGTCTCTCTCTGCCTCTAATTTTACAGGAAAACTAAAGCTCTGAAATGGAAAGCTTACACTGTCAAGATTCTTTAAAAAAGTTTGCCTTTCAAACTCGGTTGCTGTTTTGTATTTGAAACAGGGTCTCACTATAGATCAGAGTGACCTGGAGCTTACAGTCCTCCTGTCTCTGTCTCCTCGGGTGGTCTCTGTTGTTGTTGCTTGTCTGCTTTGTTGTTGTTGTTGTTCTTTTTGTTTTTTATTTTTATTTTTTTTTAATTTTTTTTTGAGACAGTGTTTCTCCATGTAGCCCTGGCTGTCCTGTAGACCAGGCTAGCCTCAAACTCACAGAGATCATCTGCCTCTGACTCCCTACTGCTGGGTTTAGTGCTGTGCGCTGTAACTCGTGGCCTCTGTCTCCTTGAGCGTTGAGTTCAGGCACGTGGGGTTAACACATGGGGGAGAGGTGCTTGACAGAAACATGACATGAATTTGTCTCACTGGAGGTTTACAAAATACTTCCACCAAGTCTAACAATGGCATAGCTATTACCCGGAAGTCCCCAACCTAATTTCTGGGTTTCTAAACAAATCCAATTATAGGTATGTTTCAGTTTCAGTCAGTTCTGTAAGAAGATGCCTTGACCCAAGAGTCACAGCAGTTTGTACATGATAGGGACCCCAGTACAAAATAATGTCGAGAAGCCACGTTAGAGCTGAGAGACCACCGGGAGCCCGGGAACAGTGGTTACAGCATGCAACATTTTTCAGCATATCAGTAACTGTAGACAACTTGTTAAATTACCTTTAAAGATTCATTTTATGTATATATGTATGTGTTTGTACAGGTACCCACAGAGGCCAGAATGGGGCATCGTATCCCTTCGAGCTAGAGTTCCTGGTGTTGTGAGTATCTCAGTGTGGGTGCTGGGATCTGAACTCTAGTCCTCTGGTAGACTAGTGAATACTTCCCCCCCCCCCCCTGCTTAGAGACAGGGTCTCCCTATGTAGCCCTAGCTGGCCTAGAATTCACTATGTAGAGCAGGCTGGCCTCTAGCTTGAGATGTCTGTTTGCATCTGCTTCCTCCTGCTGGGACTTCAGGTGTGTGTCACCACACCGAGCTGCTGTAACACTCAACTCCGGAGCTGTCTCTGAGTCCCCTGTTGAGTGTTTATATGAGTGTGAACACATATGCCGTCCTAAGATCTTCCGCACTGGGTGAATGTGACTTCCATAATATAGTCTGCACCACAATAGTGTCTGAGGGTCTAGGATTTGTTATTGTGTTACATTTTAACCCCTCACAATGCACAGAAGGACTGTAGCTGGTGCCTCTGCTAAAAATGAGATCAAGGTTGCTATTAAACTTCATATTCCTTTCAAAATGTGTGTTTTTTTTTAAAAAGATTTATTTTTTGTGTTTGGGGGCTTTGCCTGTCTGTGTGGTCCACATGTGTGCAGTGCTTGCAGAGGCCAGGAGAGGGCATCGTATCCTCCCAGAACTGGAGTTACAGGAGGTTGTGAGCCACCCTGTGAGTGTTGGGAGCAGAACTCAGGCCCTCTGCAAGAGCACCAAGTGCTCTTATCTTAGCTGTTGAGCCACTTCTCCAGCCCCAAAATAAATGTTTTCTTTTTTAAGTACATGTAAGACAATGGGAAATGTGTATAACCAACAAAAACCATACACATATTTCATACATACATCTAAGAAATTTTGCCTATGAAGCTATGACTGAGTTCAAATACATGGAAGTATCTGAGTTTTGTTAACACTTAATGATTTAAGTTTTATTCACAGGAAAATGATCACCAAACTAAGCCTTTGTCGTGAACATGGCCTCCCAAGAGAATAAATATCTTTAAAGAAAAATTCCTCCTCGGTGTTCCTAGCACAGATTGAGCTATTTCAAACTGCTTGTGGACTGGAGATATCACACAGTGGTAGGCTGCTTGCCCAGCATGCCCAAAACCCCCGACTCACATCAAGAAGTAAAAAGGAAAAGGAACAAAAGCATACAGTAGCATGTAATTGGATTTGATTAAGATTTTGAACATTTGAGTTATTTAGCTGTTTTTCAACCTAATCAGTTTTTTTTTTTTTGAGTCATTGGTTAAAAATTGGATAATGAGTTACTTGCTCAGCTTTGTTTTTGTTGTTGTTTTGTAATTTGAAAAAAAAAAAACAAACCTCACTGAAAGTATCGTGTGGTGACTGTAGAGACGGCTCAGCAGCTAAGAACACTGATTACCCTTCCAAAGGACCTGGGTTCAGTTCCTGGCACCCACATGGCAGCTCACAACTGTCTGTAACTCCAGTTCCAGGGGATCTGACACCCTCACACAGACATATGTGCAGGCAAAACACCAATGCACATAAACTAAAAATAAATAAATCATTTAACAAAAGAAAGAAAGAACCATTGTTTGTCTTTTAGCTACAACACAGACTAAAGCTGCACCTGGGCCAGTATCCACAAACCTCAGCACCATGCTGTGATCAACAGTGGCAGCTTCCTGCCGAGTGCTTGTGACAGTGTCAGACTCACTGAAAATGCCACCAAGAAGTGCATGGAGGTCTCAGTCCACCCACTTCTGTAAGCGGGGTTCAGATAACTGGGGGTCAGAGGGCTTGGTGGAGTCTGGCTTTCGCTCACAGACGTTGCCTCAACTATTTTATGAGAATGGGAAAC